ATGTTAAGTCAGTCAACTAAAATATTATAACCTTTCTCTCATACTGGTCGTTCTACGTTTGTTTTCTAGCTCATATTTAGGACAATAATTTACAGTGGCTGGTGGGTCCCAGAGTCCCTTCCAGAATTGTTCTCTAGTATTTCTGCTCTCTCTAAACTCAGGACACCCACCAACAGCCATTTCCGTTTCATTTCCCTGTTTCAGGGTCTTCCGAGGTCTGGAGTTCCCAGTGCCTTCTCACTCCTCTTCCTCCTCCCCAGCCCCTCTCTCCTCCCCTCCCCCAGTCTTCGGCTCTGGCCTCTCCCGGGTCCCAGAATCAGCCCCTCTTTAGTCAATTCCCCAGCGGTAACACACAGCTGCCCCCCCCCGCCCCAAGCTTCCCCCTAAAGGGCAATAGGGCAAAGGAATTTTTAGTGCAAAAACAGTAAATCCAGGCGGGGCAGGAGTTCTGAGGCCCTGGAGGCTCGGGGACCGACACGCAGAGCTAGGGGGGATTCGAGGGGTGGGGGCGCTGCGCGGAGCTAGGGGGGATTCGAGGGGTGGGGGCGCTGCGTGCAAGGCCAGAGCCCGGTCGCCCCAAAAGAGCCCGAGCTTACCTGTCCAGTGTAGTAGCCAGAGGCGCAGCTCAGATGCCCCTTTCAAAAAGCCCGCAACAGCCGGGTCCTTTTATCCGGGCCTGGCCGTTTTCCCGCCGGATGACGCAAAAGGAAGGGCCAATCCAGGAGGCTACTGGGCCCGGGAACCTTGGTACAGTTTCTAACAAACAAACATTTAGCAGCACTGCGCGGTAGGCTTCTCGAAGATTCTGGTTTCGTTTCTTCCCAGTCCTCCCACGCCCAGACCTCTAGACCGCCCCTCAAAGGAGGAAACGGCAAATCGGCAAATCTAGCAAGATGCAAAGAGCCGCTCCCGGCAGGTGGCGGGCAGGTGGCGTAGGCTCCGGGTCTTCGCGCCTGCCCCCCTCCAAGCCCAGCATCCTCCCAGGGAGGAAAAGGGGGGTGGGGACACAAGCCCACCTGTGGACCACTGACTGTGCTTAGGACCCGTGTCTCTCTCGACGCTTATGAAACCTATGGCAGTACTGTATCCAGATCATTCAATCTATGCTGTGCATGTGTAAGTGTATATGTTGCAGATACTTTGGTATATTTTCATTTTTCACTTCTGTCAGTACCCAGAATAAAAAGCAAAACAACTTTCAGACCAATTTTTGCATTGAAGGAAAGTGACAACATAATGTAGTTCATCTACACACAAGCATGAAAGACTTAAAGATAGTAATTATTTTTTGAGAGGGACAGGAGGTATGTGGCAAATGTAGCTCAGTGGTAGAGTGAAAGCAGGAGGCGCTGGTTCGATCCCTGGCACAAGTGCACGCAGGAGCAGTGCCTTCTTCTTCCCCTCCTTTCCTCCTTCGCCTCCTCCTCCTCTCCTCCTCCTCTTTCTTCTTTTCCTTCTCCTCCTCCTCCTCCTCCTCCTCCTCCTCCTCCTCTTCCACCTGCTCCTTCTCCTCCTCCACTTTCTCCTTTCTCCTCCTTCACCTACTCCTCCTCCTGGTCCTCCTCTCCTTCCTTCCCCTCCTTCTCCTTCTTCTTCCTCCTTCTTCCAGCGATTCTTAGGAAGTTACTCATGGCTCTGCACTCAGCAATTATTCCTGGTGGTACCACACGGGATGCCAGGAAATCAAACCCGGTTGGTCAAGTGCAAGACAAATGCTCTGCCTACTGTATTGTGATTCCAGCCAAATGAAACTTTTTTTTTTATAAACAATGCTTTTTTCTAAGGTCAGTTCTCTCTTGAACACGTATTTCTATTTCTTTCCTTCTCTCCTCTGCTTATTGTCTCTGGAGAAGCCTGTGTTCACACTTGAACACATATTTCTTTCTCTTCTCTTATACATCTCGTAATAACTTTCTTTAATTAAAATCCATTCTTCACTAAAAAAGAAAAAGTAATGAGATAATAAAATAATAATCATGTGTCTTTCTTTTTTAAAATTTTATTTTCATAAATTGTTCACAATGATGGATTACATTCAATCTTTCAACATCAATCCTACCACCGTTTTTATTTTTTTTTAATTTATTTTTTTTATTATTTATTGAATCACTGTGGGAAAGGTTACAAAGCTTTCAGGTTTAGGTCTCAGTCATGCAAATATCAAACACATTTCCCTTTACCAATACTTATTTTTTACCATGAAGAACCCCAATAAAACCCCACCCCCGACCCCTCCCAGTGCCTGTGGGGCAGATGAATTCTAGTTAACACTCTATCTGCTTTGATTAGATTGATTGTTTCAATAAAAGATTCACCACTATTATTTAGAGTTTACCCCCCCCCATCAGACATGCTGAAAAAGCATTGTGAAGTGATTTGCTTTCTACAGCTGGGTTCAAGAATTAAATGTTGGTTTTGGATTTCTGCTATTTTACCTATTGACCCTGGAAGTATTTCTACTGAAAGTCAGATAGTTAAGAAATTGGTTTCTGTGTTCTGGAGTCGTGGCCATGCTGGAGAGCCGCTCGTGGGGGCAACTGGTGGCCTCGGTAGGGCGTGAAGGGCGGACCGAAACGCCCCCCTTCCCATGAGGTTTTAGTCGCCCCCACACTCCCGGCTCATACCTGCTGTCCACAAGCCATCTTTCTTTCCAGAGAGGAGAGGGCGAATGGGGCAACACCCTCCGGCAGACTTGATGGCCTGGATCAACGCATAGTCCGTTCACTTTTCTGCTCCAAGCTGCTGGGTTCTGCATTAAGTCCTTGTGCTTCTGGGGCCATGGCTGTGCTGGAGAGCCGCTCGCGGGGGGCGACTGGTGACCTCGGTAGGGCGTGAAGGACGGACCGGAACGCCCCCCGACCCATGAGGTTTTAGTCGCCCCCAACACCATTTTTATTTTTAAATTTTATTTTCATACAGTTGTTCACATTAATTGAGACATTCAATATTTCAGCACCAATCCCATCACCATTACACCTTCCCACCACCATTATTCTTTTATTTTTAAATTTTGTTTTATTATTTTTATTAATTTTTATTTTATTAAATCACCATGAGATAGAGTTACAAAGCTTTCATGCTTGAGATTAAGTTATGCAATGATTGATAATTTTTTTTCATTTGTTATAATTTTATTTATTGATTCACTGAGAGAGCAGTTACAAAGCTTTCCTGTTTAAGTCTCGGTCATAAAATGAAACACCCATGCCTTCACCAGTGCCCATTCTCCACCACCAAAAACCTCAGTATACCCCCATCCCACACCCTCCCCCTACCTGTGGGGCAGATGATTTCCACATTACTCTCTCTCTACATTGATTACATTCAATATTTTGACAACAGACTCACCATTATTATTTGGGATCTTACCCCAACACTCAGATCTGCTGAAAAGGCAAGAGCAGACAATTTGTTTTCTATTGCTAGTTATGAATAACATATGACGCTGCGTGGCTGCAGTAGTGGCCGCATGATTTTGAAATCCTGAAATTTTAACAATTAAATCGGGAGGGATTTCTGCCAAAACCTGCTGGGTTCCGAGATTGTTTCCTAGGTCTCTTGGATCATGCCATTAAGCAGCTTGATCAGGAGACAGAAAGTCTGTTTGTGGGCTGCAACTTGGGTTCTTGTTGGGACAGGGAGGAAAGGGCTGGCTCCACCCCCATCCCATGAGGCCCCGCATGTCTCATCACTGCAGGCCCAAACCTGACTGTCCAACGGCGTCTGGAGGATGGCGGCCAATGACCCACCTAGGGGGAGCAGGCAGAGGGACAGCACCCTTTACCCCCCTGGGGTGGCCTGGTGACAGTACCTACTGCGGGTCTGGATGCATTTCTGCCAAAAGCCACTGGGTTCCGAGATTTGTTTCTGAGTCTCTGGGATCTTTGTCGTTAAACAGCTTGCTCAGGAGCCAGAGAGGCCATTCGTGGGCGGCGACTCGAGGTCTCGTTGGGGTGCAGAGGAAAGAAGCTATGCAATGATTGAATACCCTTCCCTCCACCAGTGCACTTTTTCTACCACCAATGTCCCCATTATCCCCCTCCCTCATCCTAGTCCTCACCCTGCCTCTATGGCAGACAATTTCCCCAATACTCTCTCTCTCTCTCTCTCTACTTTTGGGCATTATGTTTTGCTCGAATTTTCTCACCACCATTCAAGCCTACCTGCCAGGAGGAGATGCTAGAAAATTCATTTTCCACTGCTCATTTTGAATATCATGAGAGCTCGCGAAATGAATATTTGTGGCCCCAGGCTTCTGGAATTCTAGATTGTAAATGTTTGGGTTCCAGAAACATCTGTATGACACTGATCCATTTTGGGATTCAATTGGGAGTCTCTGGACCAGGGTTGTTGTATGCTCTAAGGTGGTGCCGAGAAACAATTGTGTGTGTGACAGCTGAGCAGCTGGGGATCCAAAGAGGGGCAGCCCAGGTCCTCTGCCATCATGCAGCCTGGAGTTAGTCCTGGCACCCAAATACCTGGCCTGGTTTGTGAAAGCTCTTGGTTGCAGGGATTCCAACTGGAGTAGATGGGGAGACCGCACCTGCTCCATCTGTGGTGTCCTGGTGAAATTAGCTTGGAATGGGGCCCAGGAATGTCTCCGGCTCCGTGGTGTCTTCCAGGACTTGCTTCTGTGTCTCTGGTTAAATTTTGTTTTCATAAGATTATTCACATTAATTGATTACACTCAATATTTCAATACCAGTCCCACCACCATTACACCTCCCTACCATCATTATTTTTATTGTTAAATTTCATTTTATTATTTTATTCTTTTATTGAATCACTGTGAGATAGAGGTACAAAGCTTTCGTGTTTGAGATTCAGCTATACAATGATCAAATACCCATTCCTCCACCAGTGCACATTTTCTTCCACCAAGGTCCCCACCTTCAACATCCCAGTCCTCACTTTACATCTATGGCAGACAATTTACTCAATACTCTCTCTCTACTTTCGGGCATTATATTTTGCTCAAATTTTCCCACCACCATTCAAGCCTACCTGTCAGGGGCAGACGCTAGAAAATTCATTTTCCACTGCTCATTTTGAACATCATGAGAGCTCACGAAATGAATATTTATGGCCCCACGCTTCTGGAATTCTAGACTGCAAATGGTTGGGTTCCAGAGACATATTTGTATGACACTAATCCATTTTGGGATACAATTGGGAATCTCTGGATCAGGGCTGGCTGTTGGTGTGCTAAGATGGTGCCTGGAGGCAAATTGTGGGCATGACAGCCAGTCTGCTGAGGAGGTGGGGATACGGAGAGGGGCAGCCCAGGTCCTCTGCCATCATGAAGCCTGGAGATTTAGTCCTGGGTCCAACCCGCATACCTGGGCCTTGCTTGTGGAAGTTCTTGGTGGCCAGGATTCCATCTGGGGTAGGTGGGGAGAGCGCGCTTGCTCCATCTGCGGTGCCTTGCTGAAATTGGCTCCGTATGGGGCCTGGAGAGATCTCAATCTCTGTGTTGTCTTCAGGACTCGCTGCTGTGTCTTTGGTTAAATTTCATCTTCATAAGTTTGTTCACATTAATTGATTACATTCAATATTTCAACATCAATCCCACCACCATTACACCTTCCCACCACCATTATTCCAAATTTTTCCCCACCGTTCAAGCCTGTCTGCCACAGGAATATTCTAGATAATTTATTTTCTATTGCTTATTGTGAATATTATGGGAGGTCGCTCAGCTGCAAGAGCGGCCGCTCACTCCTGGAATTCTAAAAGTTTTGGTAATTAAGGTCCAGAGTAATCTCTGCAGTGAGCAGAAAAAAGTCGCTGACCCAGAGAGACGTGAAGTGGGGTGGGGTGGGGTGGGGTGGGGTGGGAGAAGGACTTTCAGGATGGCACAGCTGCAAGCTGAAGGAGGCTCTACAGCTCTTGGTGCTAAGGTAGGTGGCAATTATAATGGGTCCGAATAGAGCTTTTCAGATCCAACTTGGCACCACTGCAGAGCATGCTTGAGGTGCCAGAGTGGAGGAAGCACTCCATGGGGCCCCTGTGATTTTCCACTGTAGCACTGCCCTGCCGCCATTTCCTCCCCGGACCAGTAAATGCCACACATAGCATATTATGAAGAAAATCCTCTCTGAGTGCCAACTGTCTTGAAGATGGGGATATGTGACCCATGGTCAGGTTTTGCTGGACTAGTGGCTGAAGCGTTCCCACAGTGCCCAAACCGCATACTATAGCAGCCCTGGACCCTGCTGGGGCCACTGCTGCTGTTGCTACTGGGACCCAGGGGCCACGATGCTGCTGGAAGGTCACCCTAGACCCATGAGGTGAGTGCATCAGCAGCCTTATGGTACTCTCAGGCTTCCTGATGCCCCCAAAATGCTGCTGTGGCTCTGGCCAGACGTCAACAACTAGGGATCAAGTTTCGTGAAAGTTCAACTGCCTACAGTTAGGTATGTGGGAACCCACAAATGACCTCCGGCTCAGTCATACAAGCTCACTTGTAGGCCTTGCTTCAGAGGCCTATGAATAAACCTCCAAAGAGATCAAAAGCTGCAGTTTATCTCAGACTTGCAGTTAATCTTAGGCTGAAGAGATGAAGTAGCTCTAGGAGGCATGGGTAGCCTGGTTCCTGCCGAAGCAGAGCCCCCAGCAGCCACTTGTTCACACAATTGAAATTGCTGCCAAGCCCCCACTGGACTCCACCATCTGGGATGGACCTCACCAAGGTAGTAGCACTGTAGCACTGTCCTTCCGTTGTTCATCGGTTTGCTCGAGCAGGCACAAGTAATGTCTCACAACAAATTGTGAGACTTCTTGTTACTGTTTTTGGCATATCGAATACATCACGGGTAGCTTGCCAGGCTTTGCTGTGCTGGCTAGATACTCTCGGTAGCTTGCCAGGCTTTCTGAGAGGGGCAGAGGAATCGAACTCGAATTGGCTGCTGAAAATTTGGGTATGCAGGGTTTTTTTTTCTGTAGGAGTACTGCTATTTATTCAGCCACTAATTAGCTGATTGAATTGTGCATGAACTCCACCTTACTTTTTTTTTCATTTTTTATAATTTTATTTATTGAATCACCGTGAGAGCAGTTACAAAGCTTTTGGGTCTAAGTCTCGGTCATACAATGAAACACCCGTACCTTTACCAGTGCCCATTCTCCACCACCAAAAACCCTAGTAAACCCCCATCCCACACCCTCCCCCCACCTGTGGGGCAGATGATTTCCACATTACTCTCTCTCTACTTTGATCACATTCAATATTTTGACACCAGACCCACCATTATTATTTGAGATTTTACCCCAACACTCAGATATGCTGAAAAGGCAACAATAAACAATTTGTGTTCTATTGCTGGCTATGAATAACATATGATGTCGCGTGACTGCAGTAGGGCCATGTGATTTTGAAATTCTGAAATTTTAACACTTAAATCTGGAGGGATTTCTGCCAAAAGTCAGTGGGTTTTGAGATTTGCTCCTGAGTCCCTGGGATCATGGCTGTTGAGCTGCTTGATCAGGAGCCAGAGAGGCCGTTTGTGGGCAATGACTTGTGGTCTCGTTGGGGTGGGGAGGACAGGCCCGGCTCCACCCCATCCCGTGAAGCCCAACAAGTTTCGTCACTGCGAGCCCAAGCTTGACTGTCCAATGGCCTCTGGAGGATGGCGGCCACTGAGCCACCAGGGGGAAACAGGGGGAGGGACAGCACCCTTTCCCCACTGGTGTGGCCCTGCGACAGTAACCTACTGCAGGGTCCAGACACATTTCTGCCAAAAGCCGCTGGGTTTCAAGATTTGTTTCTGAGTCTCTGGGATCCAGGCCGTTAAGCAGCTTGATCAGGAGCCAAAGAGGCCATTCGTGGGCGATGACTTGGGGTCTCGTTGGGGAGGGGAGGACAGGCCTGGCTTCCTCCCCATCCCGTGAGGCCCAACAAGTTTTGTCACTGCGGGCCCAAGCCTGACTGTCCAAAGGCCTCTGGAGGATGACGGCCACCGAGCCGCCAAGAGGGAGCAGGTGGAGTGACAACACCCTTTCCCCCTTGGGGTGGCCCGGCGACAGTAACGTACTGTGGAGTCCGGATGCATTTCTGCCAAAAGCCACTGGGTTTTGAGATTTGTTTCTGAGTCTCTGGGATCATGGCCGTTAAGCAGCTTGATCAGGAGCCAGAGAGGCCATTCGTGGGCGATGACTTGGGGTCTCGTTGGGGTGGGGAGGACAAGTCCGGCTCCACCCCCATCCCATGAGGCCCTGTGTGTCTTGTCACTGGGGGCCAAAACCTGACTGTCCAGTGGCCTCTGAAAAATGGCGGCCACTGGGCCACCAGGGGGAACAAGCCAAGGCACGAAACCTATTCCCACCTGGGTTGGCCCAGCACCGGTAACCTACTGCAGGGACCAGACGCATTTCTACCTAAAGCCGCTGGTTTCCAAGATTTGTTTCTGAGTCTCTGGGATCATGGTCATTAAGCAGTTCAATCAGGAACCAGAGAGGCCTTGCCTCCAATTATATAGCTGAGCCGGAGGTGATTTGTGGGTGTGTTTCCCACATACCTAACTTTTGGCTGTTTACTTTCTTGGTAAACTTTGCCCCAAGTTTTTGGGGTCTGGACAAAGGCACAGAAGCAATTTGGGGGTATCTGGAAGTCTGAAGGCGCCATGAGACTGCTGATGCACTCGCCTCACAGGTACAGATTGACCTGCTGGCGGCACCATACCCCCGGTATGCAGGGTTTTTTTTTCTTTTTTTTTTTTTTTAAATAGTTTATTTCTTTATTGAATCACTGTGGGAAAAGTTACAGAGCTTTCGGGTTTAGGTCTCAGTCATGTAAGTATCAAACACATTTCCCTTTACCAATACTTATTTTTAACCGTGAACCCCAATAGAACCTCACCTCCCACCCCTGCCAATTCCTGTGAGGCAGATGAGTTCTAGTTAATACTCTATCTACTTTGACTAGATACATTGTTTCGATAGAAGATGCACAATTATTGTTTAGAGTTTACGATTCCCCCCCCCCCAATCAGATATGCTGAAACAGCGTTGCGAAATGATTTGCTTTCTACAGCTTGGTTTAAGAGTAAAATGATGCTCCAAGCGGTTTTGGATTTCTGCTGTTTTACTTATTAACCCTGGAAGTATTTCTATTAAAAGTTAAATAGTTAAGAGATTGGTTTCTGTGCTCTGGAGTCGTGGCCGTGCCGGAGAGCCGCTCGTGGGGGGCAGCTGGTGACCTCGGTCGGGCGTGAAGGACGGCCCAGAACGCCCCCCTTCCCATGAGGCCCCTGCCGCCCCCCGCCCCTGGCTCAAACCTGCTGTCCACAAGGCTCCTGTGCGGCCGCCATCTTTCTTTCCAGAGAGGAGCGGGCGAGCGGGGCAACACCCATTCCCCTCCGGGCAGGCTTGGTGGCGCGGTTTAACACATAGTCCATTTGCATTTCTGCTCCAAGCGGCTGGCTCTCTGTGCTAAGTCTTTGTGCCTCCGGGGCGGTGGCCGTGCTGGAGAGCCGCTCGTGGGGGGCAGCTGGTGACCTCGGTCGGGCGTGAAGGACGGCCCAGAACGCCCCCCTTCCCATAAAGCCCCTGCCGCCCCCCGCCCCCGGCTCAAACCTGCTGTGCACAAGGCTCCCGTGCGGCCGCCATCTTTCTTTCCAGAGAGGAGCGGGCGAGCGGGACAACACCCATTCCCCTCCGGGCAGGCTTGGTGGCGCGGTTTAACACATAGTCCATTTGCTTTTCTGCTCCAAGCGGCTGGTTCTCTGTGCTAAGTCCTTGTGCCTCCGGGGCGGTGGCCGTGCTGGAGAGCCGCTCGTGGGGGGCAGCTGGTGACCTCAGTCGGGCGTGAAGGACCCAGGTTTTTTGATTGAAATCTCTAGCCTTTCTTGGCGTCAGAATGGGCTACCTTCTCCCACTTCCCTGTATTCCTAGAAGCCCCAGCAGTCATGTCCACAACACAAAGTTGCCACGCAGTTGAAAACCATAATGCATAAAAGAAGATAGAGACAGAGAGATAGAGACAAAGAGACAGAGAGACGGAGACAAAGAGCACATATGAGAGAGAGAGAGAGAGAGAGAGAGAGAGAGAGAGAGAAGAAAATTGTCTGCCACAGAGGCAGATGAGGGAGGGATGTTGGGATGGGGGTGGTAGAAGTGGAGCTGGGAAGGAACTGGGGACACTGGTGGTGGAAAATGTACACTGGTGGAGGAATGAATGTTGAAACATTTATGACTGAAACCCCATCATAAATAGCTTTGTGTTGGTCTATTTTACAGTGCTACAATAAAAATAAACAATTTTATTTATTTATTTATTGAATCACTGTGGGAAAGGTTACAAAGCTTTCAGGTTTAGGTCTCAGTCATGCAAATATCAAACACATTTCCCTTTACCAATACTTATTTTTTACCATGAAGAACCCCAATAAAACCCCACCCCCCACCCCTCCCCGTCCCTGTGAGGCAGATGAATTCTAGTTAACACTCTATCTGCTTTGATTAGATTGATTGTTTCAATAAAAGATTCACCACTATTATT